AGGCATCGCGGCGCAGCCCGGGCTCCGAATCTGTTCCGGAGGAGGGCTTGGAGCCGCGCTGAGCAGTCCCTGCAGAGCAGCGTGGCTGTGACGATGCGGTGCTGCTGCGCGGAGGGTTTCTTACCTTCGGGCGAGGCAAGGCTCCTTGTTCTGATAAGTTCTGAAGCCGCGCAGGCGAGCCCTTTCTTTGGCAGGTGGCCCCAAGAGAAATCTCGAGTGCATACCTGGCACTCGGGTTTGTGGCGCATTGGCCCGTTTCCCGGCGGGGCATTTGGCCTTGGGAGCAGTTCATGCTGCTCGCAGTTCTCTTGACTTTCTGAGGAGTTCCTGGGAAAGAGCCAGGACAGGAACAGGGGGTGTGAGGTGCTGTAAAGCAGCTCAGCTGCCCCCCTTACTGCTCTCTGGTAGGTAGGAGCAAGGATTTGCCTACACGTACAAGCACAGTAAGTGATGCTCCGGGGAAGTTTTGTATCTGCTGTGTATGGTGCGTTAGCTGTACCCCCTGTCAGTGGTGAACTGGACTCACAAAGGAAATACTGCACCTGCGTGACACAAAACAGAAGAGCTTTTCCTTGAGCAAGCAAAGACTTTATGCTCTGATGGCCTGTTCCGATTTATAAATTAATTTATAATTTATAAATTATCTAAACTGTAGGCATTTGCCTCCTTTCCTTTTTAGAAAGAGGTATAGCTTAAGGATTCAGGAGTTATTAGACCAGAAGGACAGAGCAGGATTCTTTTCTGCGTTTTTATCCTGCAACAGTCCCAATCCCAAGACTTGAGACTTTATCAATATGGTTTTGTCTGTAAAATTGATTATATGTTTTCAGCTTCTCAGAATAACTTGGATAAAACCTACTTTTTTCTGCAGAGCAAGCTTACCGAAAAGAACATTAATAGTTTGATTATTTTTTTACCAGGTTATTATAGGTGTACTTTTATTGAATCTATAAAGCTGTCTTTTCTCTTGTGTATATGATTTTTTATTTTTAATTAAGGCAGCTGAAAATGGAGCAGCAGGTGTTGAGCTGGATGTTGAATTTACTGCAGATGGTATTCCCATTCTAATGCATGATGACACAGTAGAAAGAACAACTGATGGGTCTGGAAGATTGCGCGACTTGACTTTTGATGAAATTAGGAAGCTTAATCCATCTGCAAAACACAGGCTATGGTAAATGAACTATTGCTATTCTGAACCTACTCTTTCAATAGTGAAAAAACATTTTTGATAAAATAATCGATTTGATCTATCGCTGTCAAAAGGTTTTGTAAATTTAAAACTTAGTCGCATATGTTACTTCTCATTTGACTTTAGAAGCGTATATGAGACTGTATCTCCTTCCTAATCCTGGCAACAGGAACAGTGAAGCAGAGGCAAGACAATTGGCTTTCAAGGACAAAATTCACAGTCACTAGTGTGAAGCCGGTTAATCCCTACACAGGCTTCCCGTAAATTTACTGCAGGACCCTAAAGATACTGGAAGTTTCATGATATGTCAAAATTGGCTGATTGCTTCTAAAATTAATTTTATTCACATGTATTTCTTGGCTGTATCTTGGGGTTTCTAAGCATCTAAACATATATAATCTAAACAGGATTATACTGTTACAGCAGAGCTAGACAGATTTCCTGGGTAGTCTCAGGCAGGAGCTGTGACCCCAGTGGGAAAAAGTGTTTTTATACATTACTAAAATTTTGATAACAAGGCAATTTATACGGTATAAATTGATCCATTTTAGAGGAGGAACTTTTAATATATGCTCCTGAGACAGTGCATTGGGGATTTCCAGACTCCTGTCAATGTACCACATGTGGGTCTGTTACTGGGAAGGTGATCACCTGAACCACACAGCGAGAATTCCACGTAGGCAGTTGCCGCTGATCAGCTGTTGTTCCCTGGCCCCATGTCAGGAATAATTTATTGAACTGTGAAGCTGCTCCTCCTACAGCCTCAGCTTACCCTGCTTATTGTGCCAGGATCAGCGTTTCTGGCTCAGGGCCCGGGAGCACAGGCAGAGCTGAGTGAAGGGACTGCACGGACGGTCAGCACTTGGGCCCGAATGCTTGTTTGTGGTAGTTGAGGAAGGAGGTGAAGAACTGAGGTTAGTTTTTGGTGTGGGACGCAGGTCAGCGGGCAGTGGATTAGACCTTGAATTTGGAAGGATCTAATTGTCTAGCGGGATTCTGGGGGAAAAGGAGATGTGAACAGATCCCTCTACATTTGCAGCCTTTTACTGGGTGAGAGAGCCACTGGCACCATTGCTAGTGGTGCTTGATCCCACCTCTAATACTAGTGTGTCAGCAAACAATGTTCAGGAATCCCCAGGAAACAGCCCCGTGTGTACCCGTGTGTGTGTGCACATGTGTATCATGACTGCATTCTAGTGACGAGCTCTCTGTTTCTACAGGAGCAAATTCCAAAGTGAAAAGGTACCAACTCTGAAAGAAGCTGTTGTGGAGGCTCTGCAGCGCAATCTTATCATCTACTTCGATGTCAAAGGCCATGCAAATCAGGTACCGCTTCCTGTACTGAGACACCTTTCTTTACCCTTTCCTTGGGTTTCTAACCTGCGTTTTTGTTGGGTTTAAAGTGATGCATGTGGTACAGTCCCTTCTCTAATGTGAGTGAGGCCAGGTCTGCCAAAGTTGAGCTGTGTCATCCAAAGTTGGGCTGTCAAAGCAAAGACAACGGTGCCTTGTCCCATTCCATTGTCCTGAGAACCTCCAATTTAAAATTAGCCTGAGACTTGCATGAGTGTTGAGTTCAGCTCACAGCACCCCCACGAAACAGAGGACAGTGATTTCCCTGCCTGTGCTGAGGGGAGCTCATGTCTCATCGTCAGCCTCCGACCAGGGATGCTGCTCGTCTACTGAAGAGAAACAGAGGTGATCAATAATTAACATTTTATGCAAGTAAGAATAATTTTTTTCTTTAGCATAGCAAAATATGGAAATACATCAACTCTTGCTCTTGAACTAAACCCTAGGTAGTGCTTCAGAATTACATCCACAATATATTTAAGGGTATTTCAGACACGAAGAGTGCTACTCGTTGCTGTAAACAGAATCATGAGGAGGACTTCTGTTGCAAAAAACATCATTTCTGTGTTTATAGTATAAACAGGGTGCTGCTTTTCTTCTCCTGTATTTCATTTCAATCCTGTTACACCAAACAGGAAAGTATTTTTAAAGGGGTTTATTCTAAAATCGCTTTGCAGCATAAAGTAAATATGAGCATATGTATAAATATAACATCTGTGTGTATCTCTAATTGGCAGGCAGTTGGTGCTCTAAAACAACTCTACCTGGAATTTCCACGATTGTATAACAGCAGCGTTGTCTGTTCTTTCATGCCAGATGTTGTTTATAAGGTGATGTTTCCTAAAAGTTTATTTTGGATCTGTTTAGTTCTGGGAATTTCAGTAATATATACACCTCCTGACTCCAGATTACTTTCGGATTGTTAAAATTGCCAAGACTTTTTAAAACAAATGAAGCATAAATCATAAGGCTACTGCATAATCTTATTAGATCTCTCTGTGCTCACTAGATGCACATATTATAAATTTCCAGCCATTCCCTTCATTCTGAAAGTTATGTAGAAAAAAATGCGTTAATATTGCAGTTGGCACATGGCCAGGTATTTGTGTGCAAAGTTCCCATTAAATTAACCTCATATTTTTATGTAAATGTTTCCTAATTCTCATTGCCAAGTCCATTTACTGTGTAGTTTATTCCATTGCTGGACTGTTCTGCAATTTTTTTTAACATAAGAGCTTATTCAGTATGTTTTAAAGTGAAAACAGTAAAATACCTTTCTGAAAGAGTTACAGAAGGATTTGTGGGGGAGAGGGATTCTGGTAGAGCTGCAAATGCAAGATACCATTTTGTATCTAACCTTTCCCGGCTTATACTTAATGCAGCTTGGCTTTTGTATGAATTACATCTTTCTTCTTGATCTTCCAGATGAGACAAGCTGACAGAAATGTTGTAACAGCACTAACACACAGGCCTTGGCATCTGAGTCATTCTGGAGATGGGACACCCTATTTCAGTTCCTTCTGGAAACATTATTTGTACATGATGATGGATGTCATTCTGGACTGGAGCTTACACAGTTTCTTGTGGCGATTGTGTGGGGTATCAGCTTTTCTCATGCAGAAAAATTTTATTTCTCAGTAAGTGTTACAGCTTCCTAACGTACCAGGAGGCAGTATTGTTCTATTAGTATATAGGGGTGGAGTTCACGTAGCGTATATTAATTGATATTCTCCAGATAGGGTTGCGTAAGGTTGTTTAGATAGTTTCTTTGCCACTAGCTATTTGGTTATTTTAAGCCTATATCTCTTCAGGCTGCATTTATATCTTATGTTAGTTCCCAAGTTTAATCTGAAATGGAAGGAAAGCTGTTGCTTTAGCCTATTTACAGCAGTAAAACACAGAGATGACAGGCTATCTTTCCTGACGCGATATTGATGTAAGACTGAAACTAAGTTGTAGCCTCAGCACTGTCTGGCTTAAATATGGCAGCCCCAGCCACATTCTTATGTGCCTTTGTTCCTTGCAGAGAGTACGTGAGGCACTGGTCTTCCAAAGGAATTCATGTGGTTGCCTGGACAGTGAACACATTTACAGAAAAAAGCTACTATGAGAACATCCTGGAATGCAACTACATCACCGACAGCTTGGTGGAAGACTGTGACCCTCATTACTAGACGTGTCAACCTAAACGAGATACTTTACTGAGGCGAGTTTGAATTTACCATCGAGGTGGGTAACAGCTGGTGCAGACAGGCCGGCCGGTGGTAGTTCTGGGAAAAGGAAAGCAGCGGTTTATTTCTGCTGTATGGTCAGATTGCAGAAAAACTCTCTGTTGCAACACTGGACAAGGCTGAGGTGCAGCCAGTTGCAGTCTGAGGGGATCACACTGTAACGTAAAAAGGCCAGATTTGTCAAGCTAACTGGGCCGTACTCTGTCTGTGCAGGTTGCTTTATAATTATCAGGCTCTTCCTTTGTTTAAGTCTTGGTTATAAAGTCATATCAGCAATTTTTGGTGGCAAAACTTAAAATCAAACCTTGATTTTAGTAATTTAAACAGTCTGTTCTACAATTGTATAATAATTTGAGTTGATTTACGGTGTCTTAAAAATATCTGCATTACTGTTCTCAAAAGAGAAATTAATGGTGCCAAAATAGAGGGTGAGTCTATTTCCTTGCTACTGCATGGAGAGATGGCTGTGCTGTGTCTTGATAAGGAAAAGAAAGCCACATGAATTTCCATTTTTCACTGTGAAAACTGTGGGATTTAATGAATGAAACTTGAGTATCTTCTGACCTTCCAGACCTTTGAAAAGAACCAAAGGAGGATAGAAGATTACATCTTCTAACATACAGCACATGAATGTATTTATTTTAAAAGTAAACTATGTATCAAGCGCTGGTACCGATAGAACAAATATGAGCTGAAATGTCTTTTTACTTTGCTTATTGTTTTCATGATTGACAGGCAGTCACAAGGACACGTGGGAAAGTGTAATCCCCATTTAGCTTGAAATCAAAAGTCTGCAGTGACCTGTCAGCTATCAGATGCTTGTTTATTGTGTGGTATTCTTTATCAGCTGTGCCCAGCCAGATTAATGCAAACATGGCAACGTTAGGACAGGTTGCTTGCTACTTTTTCTAGCAAGTAAAATCCCCAGGTGTTCTCATCACCGCTACCATCAACATTGCCTGAACAATTTTGGCTCTGCTCTGGCGGGAGCTGGTGGTTAGAGAAGACTGCCAGTGAGCAGCAAGAGCAGAAAGCTCCTGTGGAGCCATCCCTAACATAAATTAGACTACTTTTTCTTAATGGCCAGTACATGGAATTAGTAAGTTCAATAACTTCACTTCAGAAGAACATGATACTAATTTCAACAGAAATGAGGAATTTGAACATTTAGCTGATGGGTTGCCTCCTGCAGTTACTCAGATGTTTTCTCATGAGATGCCTTACACGTTGCTACGTGGGCAGTCTATGTTTGACTAGAACGTGTAACCATGTTTCAGTAAAGTAGTTCCTTGTACTACTCACTGCTGTTCAGTTAATTGTTGCCTTGTTTGGGCATTGCCGTGTTTCAGCTCTCGTGCTGTGCTGTACACGGGGTGATGCCCTTGGGCTGTGCTGCAGGAAAGCTGCACCTACCAGAACGGGCGCAGCAGACCCGTGGTGCAGTTTGGTGCGCTCACTGCTCTGGATATAAGCGTTCTTGAGAGTGTGCCTCACGGTTAGAAGTAATTGTCATGCACAGAGCCAAATGAGATTTCTATAAGAGGCAAAAGGTAATGACAAAAAATAAAAATCACTGAAAATAACTACACAATTGTCCCAATTAAGGCAAGTCCATACTTCTGAGTGGCAGCAGATTAACGCTACCTCCTGCAAGGGGTGGTGGAGTTTTTGCTGCTATCTTGAGCTGTATGTAAGCACAAATGTTTCCTGTCAGGATGATGAGAGCCTCTTCGTTCAATGCACATCACTCACCCACCCTGCGCTGCAAAAGCACCAATCTCAGTCTCCTGGTGCATATCCTAGAGCACGTGGACGTTACACCCGCGGCTGGTTTCTGTCTGGCCAGGCCAGCTCAGGAGTGCCGTGGGCTCGGCCTTTGCTGCTGTGTTCAGCACTGAGCAGCCGTGGGAGGAGCACAAGCGACCCTTGTGCCAAAGGTCCATTTTTTGTTGCTGGAGTCACCACCCTCAGTGCAAGCACTAGGCCCATAGTCAGTACTTGCAGGCAGGCTGCACAGCTGTATCTACAGAAAAACATAATAAAACTGAATCTCTGGTCTCGCATTGTGTGTAAAGTTTGTCTTTCTTTTGTACCTCTGGTGGCTTGTTTTGGGTTGTCTTTAGCCAAAATTATGAAGAAACTTGCCTTTCTTCTAAGTCATTTTTATGTGCAAAGCAACAAGGGAGGAATAAACCAGGCAGCAGTAGAAAATGGGCTAAAAAAAATAATCATAGTAGCAAATTTGTGGCTCTGAGTAAAAAGAAGCTGCATCAAGTGCCTCAAAGTCATACACGACTTAAAAATAATTTCGGTTGCATTACTTCCAGTCTGTCCTTTACTGAAAAAGTTATGTGTAAACTTCTTGTTCACAGATAGTGATTTTACACAGATGAGAATTTGAATAAGTAGTCACTTCAGAAAGAGTTCTGGTAACTTTTAACATCAAAACTGCTTTTGAGTGACTGTAATAAACTGTAAAAATGTCACAGAAAAGTGAAAACAGAATAGAAGCTTAACCTAGTTCACACAAGTCACTTGGATCATGACGGTGACTCAGTCATGAAAAACTGCACTTTCATTTCCTTCAATTTTTATTTGACCAATACTTTGCTTTTGGTTTAGATTAGATAAAAGCAGTTTGAACAATATAACTTACATAAAAATATTTTTTAGACCAAAGCTTTTATTTACAATTAGGCACAAGTTTCCTTATATTTAGCCAACAAGTGACCAGCTGCAGAGGGACCCGTACTGTGTGGAGGCCACGGCCAGCCTGGGCCAAGGCTGACTGTCACCGGAACGTCACTCCTTCAAAACCAAACCAGCGCACAGGGTATTCCCTATCATAATGATAAACTGCAGTTGAGATGCATTTTGCAATCTGCTCTTTTATTTTTTTCTTCCATTTAGGGGTAAAAAAAATGTTTAAAGGGTTCTTTCAGGCATTAGTGCAAATAAGTACCGCTTTCTGCGGAACATCAGGCAATGACTTGACGTGTAGTACCGATTCTGCCCGCTCACAGTCAAAAGTCTCTGTCGTCATCTTCGTCTTCCCACTGAGCTGCTTCTCTGGCCCGCAGAGCCAGCGCCACCGCCTCGGACACGCCGGGCCGGCGTCTGGGCTGGGCTCTCTCCGAATCTGTGTTTCACAACGGAAGTAACGTTAACTGTGCGCCCCCATCAAAAAGCCTCGTGCTATTTAAGTGTCCTGTCTGACAAGTATTTGGAATGAAGTTATATGTTTGTGGGAAGCAGGACATACAAATGTCTGTAGCTTTTTTTATTCCAGACATAAAGTTGCTACAGACTCTACATTATTAATAACCTCTTCTGATATTCCCACCAAGAGGTGAAGTGTATCTGTAATGTGATGTAACATTCCTGCCTGTGACTGCTCCCCTAAGACTCATTTACCCAAAGAAATTCGGCTCTCGTGTATAGAGACCTGGGATCAGTCTTCAGTCACTACCAACGTTGCCAAGAGCTACCAATAAGCATGTCATACAGAAAATATTTATCCCCAAAACCCAGTCATTTTTCCCCCTTTTTGCAAGATGCTAAAATTCTCTTACATCAAGCTGTCACACACTGTGTCTGTACTGTATCAAACATTTCTACTCAGCTGAGATTCTACGAGCTGCTTTCTCTCTTTAGCCTTTGTTACTTACCTAGTGGGAAGTCAGTCTCCCTCGAGATCCCAGCAGAATAGGGATACTGAAAAAAAATTCACAGGCAGAATTAGGTAGATGTTTCCCTCAGGTGCCTGTTACTTGGTATTTAAAAAGATACCAGTCACCTGTAACAAACCCATACTCTCTAGATCTGAAGCAGGTCTGTGAGTATTCCAACAGCTATTCTGATCACATTTTTGTACCTGCCCAAATTAATCTTTACAATTATTTCTCTACATACGGGATGACCTCTTTGTTCAACATCTACTCATTGTCTGTATTGTGCCCCAGGTTCTGCACAGGGAGATCTAGTGGAGAGTTCATTCTTTCAACCATCTCACCTCGTCATAGGATGCATTTTGATTTCTGTCCAATGCTCCTCCTGGGTAGTCTGGCACTAGCTGGGCAGGTTGCCCGGGCAGGCAGCGTGAAGAAGAGCTTCTCTGAAACACAGAAGTCCAGAGTCATGGGAAGAGGGCAACCTCCTTCTTAGTTTAGGGAAGGTTCAAGTGTGACCAAATCCTTTAGTGATCATCACTGCACACCTCGAGTAGGAAAGTTTCCATGCAGTTTCTTACTCATAAATAACATCTGGTGAGGCTAAGGAGTTTTCTATATCGCTCCTAGGCTAAATTCCAGCCCGGAAAAAATAGTTAGCAAATTTCCACACCATCCTTTTGCTGTCTGGAGTTTAGTCAGTTTTAAATACAGACGTATCCCGAAGTGGCAGCCTATTTCCAAGGCTAGAGGAACCCCGTGAAACTGTATCTAGCACGTAACTGAAACAGCAGTACCTGAACTATCAACTGACCTGCTGGGCTTGTCCTCTTGGCGCAGATAGGATTTGTTTTGTCCTTGATAGTGCCCGTAGTCTTTCAAGTAAAAACATTTTATCTCTTCCTTCCTATGATCAAGACACATTGGATCATTACCTGAAATGGACCGATCATTCTTGAGAGGCTCAAGGCCTGTTAGTAAGCATTGACCAGAGCAGTCACTAAAATTCCTCTTATTCTGAAACAATCCGCCTACAGAGGGAGCTGCAGCAGCACAACTTAAGCTAAAATCATTTTGCAGCAACTCTGACTTAAATTTTCCTGCAATTCACATGGGGGAGGGCTCCCAAGCTCACTTGAACTGTCACAGGGAAAGCAGATTACAGCTCCACAATAGCAGGATGAGACAATCATCACGGAAGTCAAATTGTAAAAAAGACAAAAGTTGAGAGTCAAACTTACATTAATAATTTGCTTATGTAAGAGTTTGGTCACGGCCTTTCTTCCTTCTATTATTTGCCAGTAAACGTAAGTAAGAATTCTAAACAAAACATAACAAAAAGTCCAACATATAAGCATTCATACTCATGAGTATTTCCTCCTAGTCACTACCTAAACAAAAATTCATCTTGTTTATTTTATCCATTAAGAGATATGCACACATATTTATGCATGCCTATATATGCATACACATATAAAAAAAACATTTGTATACGACGACACAAGGAATGGCATAGACACGAAATCGCTTAAGACATTCTCTTGGAAAAGACACAAAAGATTTAAGAATTTGCATTCAAGTCAAGAGATACAATTAAAGTAAGTCAGCAATACAACATGCATTTCAGGTAACAAATAGAAACCTAATGTTCTTATCCAACTTTGTTATTTGCCTAGATACACGTGTGGACTTTAAAATCCTAACACGGAATGGTTATTGCTTCCAGGCCAATCCTGGCCCTGCTAGGATGAGTGGGAACTAGTTTTAGGTGAGCAGGTTTCGGCTCTGAAGCTTGTGCATGGCACGTGCTAGAACTACATCAAACTCTGCCAGTGGGCACATGGCTTAAAACGCATGACTTTGCCAAAATAACTTACTTCAGCCAAGGCGACGGTATGTGAATTTACCCGAGATTAGCTGGAAGCAGACTGCAAGCTGCTGATCAGCATTTCCCCGCCTGGTGTGCTCACTTGAACACACTGTTTGTGCACCACCACACCCTGCACTGCACTGTCCCTGCGGTAGCTCAGCTGTTCTTTGCATGGTATCATCTGCTCTGACTCCACTGATGAGAAATGGTCAGAAAAGACAAAGCAACCACCTCCCAAACTTCTGCTCTGTGTTGCTCAGGGTCCTAGTGTACGACTGGCTTGAGAAAGCTTGTGCTTTCCCTGCTGATTTATTCACCTCTGGGGAAAGAAAAAAATAATAATAAAAAAAGGCAATCTATCCTGCCAACTGTATGCAGCATGTTCCCTTTTGCTGATGTTCCTAAAGCTAAGTGGGCCAGTGGGAATAAGATTTGGAGCCTAGGCAGCAGTAAACAGGAATTCATGAATTAAAAGCAGCGTTATTGTGGGGTTAGCATAAAGCTGGTTTCTAAAGAGCTTTGGCATCCTAACGTAAAAGGACCAGGTTTTATGACTTCTTTATGTACTTCAAATACATGAATTTCCAATATATTAACCAATATATTAACCATTTTTGATGCTTTAAAATGCACTTTGCAGGTTTTTTTGTTTAATGAAGAACAACTACATCACAGCCATTTTTTTCCACTTCAGGTCCTTTTCATTAGCAGATACTTACAGGACAAGAGCTGAGAGGATGAAGAAGAAAAGTTCATTTGTAATTAAGTTATGGTAGATCCACACTACCCATTTTGCAGCAGTATAATTTTCCAGTATTTTTATCCACTCGAAGACTACAGCATACATAGAAGGCAAACCTCTGAAAGGACCACATTCTTCTGAAGGTTTTAACCTGAAAGCATGAGAAAACAGCTTCTTAAAGCTTCATATATCAACCAGTGGTTTAGTTTTGTACATCAGCATACTCATTAGTTTCCTATAGCCCTTAGCAATCTTTGGACCCCCAGGGAACTTCCATGATCTATGTTTGGGTTTTAACTCGTCATTCAGGACTACACAGTGAGAGATGAGAGACCTCATTGCAACGGATCAGTACCAAGCCCTGTAAACATAATCCCGACCTAAATGTACTAAGTCAATCACTGTAGTGCATGCTACAGTGAAGTGAAAATCTGGTTTTTCAAAGTTTCACTACAGATGCTCAAAAGAACCATCACCTTGCCTTCAAGGACGAGTCACTACAGATTTTCAGTAATAAGAGGATGTGGTGAACTAAGAATTAACATTTTCCTTTGAAAACAGTCTGAAATTCCCGCTTGCCATCTGGAAATATTTGCTCTGAAGTACTTAATCCCACCTGTCTTACTAAATATTGAAATCATGTGGCTCAGAGTTGTAAAGAAAAAGGAAAGGGGGTATCCATGCTGCCATCACTACTGTGATGAGAGTAACACGCACATAAATAAAGCAGATTTAAAATACTGGTAACAGCCAAGATACATTATTGCGTTGTTTCTCCTCCCACTTCCTTATGGGACAAGTTACTGCATTAACCACATTCTTGAAAACTCTGTGAGAATGTCTTGCTTTCAGAATACAGAACATCTCGAACATCTGAAACCTTTCATTAGCAATCAATATAGCTTTTCTATAGAAAAGCATTAACATATTAGGCTTGAATGCCAGTGATCTTCTGTACCTCCAGACAGCGACTCCAATGGCACACAGAGTTCCAACAAGGGAAGGGAAAAACAGCAGGAACATGAAGGATGTTGTCATCTGAGCAGTTCTCCAGACCTTGCGAGGGGGTTGGCAATTCATCATCAGACTGACCTTTAAAGAGATGCAGGCAGGTACACTGACTCTTGGAATGGTGTTACTTGCCACTTCGACTCAATTTAAGTCAAAATCCACTAAAACTGCTGGTGACAACTGCTGGAACAGCATCCATCAAAAAAACTTCTTGATAAATATTTGATAAATATCCTGTAGTTTTAGAAAACTTCAGGAATATGGTCTTTAAATAGTAAGAGGCAAAACAACGTTCTGATGGGTTCTTCAGGACTCTGTTGGGTCAGCTTTGCTTTTGTAGCACACACAAACCCACCATTAAGGAGGTAAAGCCATAGCTTTGTTGTTCAGCATTCAGCATTACAGAGTGTTCAACAACCCAGCAAACAATCCGACATCCAGTCATACTACTGAGACAAAGAATTCTGAAAAGAAGACATTTCTACTTTGGTCTTTAGCTGAATTACCCTGCTTACAGTTAGATAACTGGGCAGGGGCCACTGCTGGGGAGTAAGCTGGAAGCCAGAGTCACATCCATGGGCTGAGTGTCTATATTGACACACCCATGTGAACACCAATGATTCCTCAGTATTTAAATTTTACTACTTTACTGTCTCCCTTCTCTAATTGTGCTCTTAACCCCTTCTATAACCTTTCTACATTCTTCCTCCCCTCAAGTTCCACATGTTTGTAATTCAAGGGTGTGCATCTAAATTTTTGTTCCTTTAAAACAAGTCCCCCCCAAACCCAATCAACAAAACTGCTCCCTCTAAATGCAAAACAGCAGTTGAACACAATAAATCCTGCCCAGGTTTCAAACAGTGTAAGTTTGTGACGAATGCATGTAAAGCTTATTACCTTTTTCACATAAAACATTATAGAAAATGATATCAGCTGGATAGCAGGCAGCAGAGGTGAGAAGAGGATACCAATCCTGCCAGAAAGGATTTAAAAGAGAGAAGTCAAATCTGCACTAATCACCCCATAGATCTCAGTGCACTGAAAGCAGAAAATATCACACTAACTTCATATAGAGTTAGTGTTTGGTTATTTAGAAATATATGAACATTAATCCTGTAAAGTCGATCTTTAAAAATACGCAACTTTAAACATATATATCTATGTATACATCTGCAAAACTCTCTTATAATTGGAGTAACATACTCCTTCTTAGAAACAAGGCATCTTTCCAGGGTTTAATACTGAGACTATTTCAACAAGAATACGATTCCTGCGGGAAAGTGAACAAAACTCTAGGGTGTTCCCTTTAAGGGTTTCTCCCAGCCCAGGTGGCAACACAGTTAAATTACTGACTGAAGTTATTGTTATTAGCTGCATAAGTACAAAGAGAACTGGCAAACCATCATCCTGTCAAAGTACTTCACACAGGCATTTATCCCATTCTTTCCCCTGTGATGGAAAGCACCCAGAAAGGTTCCATGGTATTTCTAAATGCAAATAAAGTTTTGGCTGTAAATGTAACACTTACCAAGTCAAAGTCTGTGCATAGATCAAATCTAAGACATTTCGTCCAATATCAAATTCTGGCAGCCCCAGGCTCACACAGACTGTACTTCCAATAATTCTGGGGAGGGGAGGAAAAGAGCACAATAGCATTCGCTAAATAATAAGACCCTTTGTAGAAATCTCTACACATAACCTCCTGAATACAAGTGTCAACGACAAATTATGCAGGGGCTGCGTTAACCACACCACGCAAAGCGGCCACAGCTCGTTGATTAGACAGCACATCAAAAATGAAAGAGAATTTGGCAAAAGCAGATTCCTATAAATGCATAGCAGGACTGAAATAAGACCTAGGATGTTCTTCATGCAACTCAAGTTAAAAAAAAAAAAAAGGAAAATAAATTACTTGTAACTGTATCTGAAAAGTATGCCTCGGCTTATGCAGTTGAAATGGCAAGTTGCCTCAGTACAAAACTGTAACAGCTCTTCATTTCTTCAGTCCAGAAAATTTTCAGCCTCAGTCAAAAAACTCAGTCTTGTAGACAATACTCTTAATATACCCTAAAGTATATCCTATTTCAAACTGACTGTAGAGATCCAGAGGTAAGCAAGTACTCAGAGGATTCCTACTGAGAACAAACAATCCCTTTTTATCACCTCTTTTTCCTGACCTGGGGACGTTGGTTTCCTGCTTATTGTAGCAAAGAACAATAAAGACCTGGGTAACTATCCCATCTCGCCTTGAATACAGGTCTTGGTACAACCTTATCAGCTGCATCACCAACAATGTTTCGGGGCTGGGCATTCAAGAGGTTACTCTGAACACATATAAAAAACATGAGCAATTGTACATTTAATCTTTCACAGCTGTAGGACTGGTGCTTTTGCACACCTTGTTGAAGGACATTCATGACAGCTGACGCTGCAGTTTTTGGTTCTTTGACCTTTAGCTGGGAGGTGGTTTCCTACCTTACCAGAAAAAGAACAGGAGGATCAAAGTACACTGGTGAGAGCTGTGGAAGGAAAGGCTTTGAGGGCCTCTCCATGTCGTTTTGTGTTAATTCAACATCAAGTTAACAAAGTCCTCCCTTATAAACCAGTCTTGTTCACATCACGTGCAAAGGGAAAACGGTGGATCTCCTACACAAGCATGTCCAGAAACCCTAAACGCTCTGTAGAGCTGGCAAGCGCTTCAGTACTCTGCTACCTTAAGTCATAAATAATGTTTGGCAATAGAAATGTGGATGTCATTATGTGCTTAGCTATAGTCACAGTCAGTTAAAAATACTTCCTCACCATGCTGAAGAGCTCTACACTTGAGAGTCACATCATATCCTTAATAAGACTGATTAAAATAAGATTTTATACTTGTGTGCACTCTGTAAAGTGATGTAACTAAGAGAAAAAAAGTTACAGGGGGACACACCAAGGAAAGCCAGCAGTGTGCCTGTGCCTACACAGAAAAGCAAGGTTTTCTACTTGAGACATTTGGTCTTTTGTCATCCCATTCAGGAGATCCATGGGAGCACAACGTTGCTTCCTCCCTGTCTGCGTTTCCATCTCCAAAGGGAAAAAGGGCATGTTGGGAGAGCAGAACGGTACGCACTCTGACCTCCTTCTAAGAAGGAGCTGCAATTTACAGTGTCTTCGGTTAATGAATAAAGACAAGATTAGAAAAGTAGTACTCACCTTCGTAAAAACTCTCCAAAGAAAGAGCCAAGCAAACTAAATATGAATCCAACTAGAACAAAGCGGTAGATATCTTGGCCAACCAAAGTTTCCCAGCACTTTAAGTAGAAGAAAAAAAATAAAAATGCATATCTAAAAGTCAAAAATCACACATTTATAACATTGTTCCCAAATGTTTAAACATCGGAAACCTGGGCTATGGATCCAAGATTTGTGAACACCCTGAGTAGTCATAGTCGACCTCTTACTGAACAATGCTACAAAACAGTTGAAATCAGAGTTGGATGTTTCATTCTCTCCTACAGTTCATTTCTCTAAATACACTAATAAAATAAATAAATTTTAGGGTGGCAAATCAACTTTCCAAGACACTAGATGTACTTCTTTTTCTGGAACAACCTTCTTATCAAAGTGGTTTCTAACCTGGCATTGTAAGTCAAAGATTTCTATCTTTGAAACTTTACCTGTGAGTCTGATGCAGCCACAATGTTAAGCCAGTAGTAGCACAGTATCCCAATAATTGATATCTTCAGGATGACATTTCTACAAGGAAAAAGTAACAGTAACTGCACTGACAGCTTGTCCAGCTCACTGGAGGAGGTGACGGCAGGATGACTGTTGGCTACGCTTCATTACCTCCTCTTACAACAAGAATAGCATGGCAGAGTGCCAGGACTAACAGGAGCTCTGGGCGGAGCTGGGGCGCAGTGTTATTCTGTTGTCCAGGCAGAAGGGGAGCCCGGCGTGACAAACGTGGCACAAGCCTCTGCTAAACAGGCTGGTGGGTGGGTGTGAGGGAGGAGGAGGAGCAGGGTGGTAACTCCAGGCACCTGTACCTCAGTAACATCTCCTCACTCCTGTAGCTCCTTCCCTTCCTCTCCCTGGGGGGCATCTCAGGAAGCCCAGCGTCACCGTGTGTCTAACTGAGAGGGAAGCCATGTCCCATCCTCATGCAGAGAGGTAGCACTCCAGAAAGCTCACAGAAGACAAACAAAACATGGAGGGAAGAGTGTAAAGAAGCTTTTGGAGAAGATGAATTCTCCTCCCTCGCTCCCTGTTGCCCGCCACACCATCTAGACGCAGCGTGCTATCAAAAACCAGGGTCAGGCAATTTGAGGCGAAAAGCACTAGAGGTGGTAGCAACAAATACCTGACAATAGTGACATATATCTGCTGCCCAGGATTCTGAAAACTTTCCAGGTGTCCAAGCCACGAGTAGAAGGATGGGATGAGTGCATTGAGGAGAGATGTGACAACAGGTAGCACCAACATGGCAGCTTGGCTCTCCAGGTCATTTTTATACCCTTTCATAAACAGCTTAGAGAGGAAAAACAAATCAAAAACCAAAATAACCAAACAACTCTAACTTAGAGCCTTAACCAAAATGCTGCCTGAAGTTGTGTCCACAGGGAAGACACTTGGCACAGCTCCTCTTATTTTCTCAGGTTAGAGATGATTGTGTTCCATGGGCCCAGGTCCAGCAGCACAGTAACCCTTCCCCTTCCCCTGTGCCACATGGCACCAAGGGCGAGAGCCCTGACTTAAAAGCAACTCCTAGGCAAAGGAGAGGCAGGTCTTGCTGAGGCTTCTTCTTGCTGTTTCTTACCAGGTCAGCAGCTGCACTATCCTCCAAGCTAGCCATGAGCCCAGGCAAGCAGCTGCTGAGGCAAAGGGGGAGATTTGCTCCGATCCCTCAGGTCCTACGCTCTTGCCATAGCCCCCCGTGGTGTGAGCCTTTGGAAACCAGCTTCCTCAGTAGAGCAGAATCTGTGTTTGCACTGGCAGAAACAACAGCTATGCTTCCCTACAGTCCAAGTAGCGAACAGACTACTACTTGCACTCAGTGTAAGGTACCCGCATGGAAAACTGCATCTTCAAAACCAGACTGCAAATCTGTCCTTACCTCTAGGTTATTAACAGAGAGGAAGTAAACACCAGCACAGGCAGCTACTGCCGTTCCCACGGAAACAACCCAGGAAACAAGATGAATAACAATACGAACAGCTCTCTCTGTTACAGAAAAATTTAAAACTTCTTGGTTTGCTTCAGCAAGGTCTTCCTGCAAGGAAACAATGCATAATGAAGAATTCCTTGGTCAACAGCATAAAGGAAAACTTGTTTCAAGGAATTACTTGAGACACTAAAAGAAACATTATTTCTCTAGAAGATGGGTAGATGGGTAGAGTAATATTCTGGGAACATTTACTGGACAACTTTGTGTTCCTATCCTAAAAGTCTTTCCTCTTGACAGTTACACTGCATTTCATAGATAATATTACAAGCTTGTCTTTTGGTTATAAAATGATCAAATATCAGGAAGGAAAACTAGAAGAAATATTCTGTTTGGCAAATATTTAACAGTCACAGAGTTTCACTCAAGAGAACAAAAGCATACAAATATTTACATATAGCTTAAAAAGAAAAGAAAAACAAGTAGCTAACCCAGCTCCAGGAGTTCAAATCAAATTAAACTTAACAGTCAGGAAGACTTAGGTCTAGTAAGAATGGGATTGCATGTGCACGCACAAATAAGTCTCTGGCATGTTAGTTTTGTACCTTTCCACCTTTTTGCACCTCCCGTGTTTTGTACCTTTATTTGTGTGCTGAGACTCTTCTGTTTCAGCTTCACGGCTTTTTCATTAGTTATATTGAAGTCCCAAGTGGAGAGAAGCTTGCTGGCATTTCCAGAGTAGGTATGAGGGTTAATAAAGTTCCTGCAGAAGGATTTTGCCGTGCTGCAATGAAAGTTAAATTCGTAAGATGGCTCACAGGGAAATACATCAACTCCGTACAGCAGGACAAGAAGGGAGATTTGTCTGGTTTTCTACCCTGTCCCAAGGCTACTGTACCTATCTCAGAGTATGTCACATAAGACAACGTGGAAAATAAACTTTAATGTAAGAAACAAGTCTCAACAGTTCCTTCTCCTAGTTGTTGCTGACAATCTTCACCTCTGGAAGGCCACATCAATACCAGAAAATATTAGGTACAACAGCTTGCAAAAAGGGGATCATTTGTTTGAACTGGGATTCCTGCATGTTCCTTACTATTCTGCAGTTATACTTCATTTGTCAAATAAAGGTTTGGTTTCTGGAGACTGTCTTTTGAGCAGAAACTTCTACTTAAATCCTAGACCTGGAAATAAAGACTTACAGAAACACACCCACGTAATTATTTCTGCCAGCCATTGAGAGGGTGGGGTTGTTTTGTGGCTTTTTTTCCCTTAATATAAGTGAAAGAAGAATATATAGATAGTTTACCTGAACGACAAGATAAGAAAACAGATGATAAAATATATTCCAACAGTGAAAATATAGGCTAGCTGCATGTTGTAAGGTGGACCATTCTCTGGTTTACTGATTGTAGCATTGGTGTAAAAGCCATAGTAGAGTACTGTTTGCTGAAAATAACCCTGAAAAGATACAGAGATCATTCAGAACGTTTGCCACCACCTGCATATGGTGGGAAGCATCAACATCTGAAGCCAAATCAGTGGAAGTGGGAGCTGTCTCATTCCCCACTGTGAAGTCGTATCAGGCCCTCCCCTTTGTTTTCCTTCTGTCAGCTAAAATCTTTCACAGTTAGTTTTGAGAGCTTCTACAGGTATATAAACAACACATATCCTTCCTACGATTCATGTGGGATGGTCATGAGCATTCGACACCTCTGCAGGATTTGGTGTTCTCTGAAAACTCCTGAAGAGGGAAACAATTGGTTGCTTCGTTCTTAGGAGCACGGTTCTGTACTGACAAATCGTACCAGCTATGAAGGAACCAGGAACGAAGCAAGTGACATTGAACAATAGAGTTACTACGTTACAGCTGACCTCCTGCAATGGGCACTGTACTTTGCAAAGTCAAGCAGCATTACTGCAAGACACAGCATTTCAAAAGCAATTTTAGAAGGAAAAGGCCGCCACCTTCCCTCTTTAAATTAAAAAGACCACTTCTCAACTAAGCATTAGTAAGAGCAGCCTCTTGCTTATTAACTAGAGAAATCCTTTAACAACAACAAAATAGATACTACTTTTAAAGCAAAGACAAAAAAGAGTAAGTCATCTTCTCAGATGTATTTTCAGAGGAAAATTAGCAGCGGAAAAGCATTCTTCTGAAGACTAATGTAGTTATCTCTGGAAGGCCTGGCTTCCTTTGCGTCTCTTCCACTGTTTTCTGAAGACGTGATGAAAGTCTTCAGATATTGCTGAGCACAGCAATCATTTGCAGTGAGACAACTGCACCATGATTTCTACTCATCTCACTCTGAGTCAATGTTTGTTGCAGCTTCTTTTTCAAACACATACTAAATACTGCTTCTACTCACTTAAAATTCTAACTCCGCCTATTGAGAAGAAATACTTTTTTACTCTATCGTGAGTTTTTAAAGTAGATCTGTTGCACACAGTACTAATACAAATCTGTTTTCACATACTTACAGCTCCAGTGATGATCTCCAGACCCGTGAATGAAAGGTTATTTGGTTCTCCTGCAAAAAACTGAGGGATTGCAATGAAACTGAAGTTTATGAGGAATGAGAAGATGTTGAAAATTAGCAGCCACTTCAAGAAAATAAAATAAGAAAGAACACTTGTTCCAAACTCGGCGCCAATGATCTTCAGAGTCTTGTGCCAAAACCACAGTAGGTGAAAATATTCTGACAGGCTATTTCCAAATCGCCGAAATGACTGAGGTGCAAAAGAGGAGAGAGAGATGAATCTCAGCAAGCAGTCTTAAACAGAACTCAAATTCACATAACACAGCCTCACATTTTTCACAGTTCCATTTTGATGACAAGAACAGACTCCCCTCACCGCACACACTGTAAGATGCTTACCTGGTATTCCAAAGTACTACCATAACGCAGGTCATTATTAATGAACCCTGCACCAATTAATTGGCTCTTCGGTAAGTAACACAAAGCAAGATACCAGACACCTCTGGTGTCAGTGATGACCCTGCAGCTACAGGGTTTTACTCTATTGTGACTGACAGAAGTTCCTGACACTTACCACCACTGCTTCCTGCAGACACTGTGTGCACCAGCGAAGTTGAGTACCGCGGTGCCTTGATTTTTTTGTTATTTCTTTAAGGACTTTATTCCTATGGAAGAGCAAGACAGGGGTGACAAGCATTATAATATGGATTATAATTAAAACAAGAAGCCAAAGCAGCTGCTGCAAATACAGTTTCACACTTGTGCACATGGATAGAGTTAATGAAAAAAAAAAGAGTTCTGCTGTTTTTCTATTAGCTGATACCATGGCTCTTGCTACGGTAGAATGTTCTAACTCCTCCACCAATTCTGGGAACAAAATTTAAATATATTCTGTGAGGGGATAAAAGGATGTTTGAGACCATGTGGTCTCTTCTCCATTTTACATGGCCAACACCCAAGTTTCCTTTGGAAAGAAATCGCAAGTCACCATTCAGAATCAAATCTCGAGGCCTCGACATTCTGTTTTATATTGCCATGAGAGATTCTTCTCCAGAGAAAGGACAATAAACCATCTTTAAACTATTTTCCCTTGCAAGATGTTAACTTTTGAAAAGTGCATCAAAAAGTACTTTCAGTTCTCTCAAGTAACAAACCAAAGCTGAGCAGGTGGCAAACACCCATACCTGATAGCTGGGTGCTGAAAGTATAGCGTTTGTAAAACTAAACAGACAAGCTTTTATTTTTACCTGATCTCTCTCTTTTTTTTCATATTCTCTGGCATCTTCTGGATTGCTTTAATTCTTTCACTGGTGGACATACTTGCAAGATTTCCAACTAACTTTTTCTCTGAAAAATCCAGATTTTGGTATAATTAGTAATTCTTATATAAAAACTGAAATGGATATAAAAACCTTTCCCATTTTCATTGCTATGAATATGTGGCAAGATCTGAGACTTAATAACACTCCCCAGAACACCCTCAGCTCCAACAGTACTCTATCAGAGACGGAAGTAAGCAGTACAATACTGAATGTTAAAAAGTAAGTATCACTTGTCTGATTCTTGTTTAATGTTAATACGAAGAGCTGCAATATAAAGGAAAACAAAATACTGACAAATTCCAAGATCCTGGCCTATTGCTTGATCACTCTTTGTTATTCTGTGATGCTACACCGTGACTTGAAAGCTAAACCTTTGCTTTACTTATTTTATATTTTTAGTTGATGTTAGCGCCCAAGCTTAGCACTGCCTGTGAAATAGAACTGTATTACTTGACAATCAGACTGGTTTTGCATAGTTGGAATTTGACGCTAATTCCAGACACAGTGGCTGAAAGCAATCCATTAGCTGGTCACACAAATTCTAATAAAGGGGTTTACTTCTCTTTTTATAATTTAAAACATATAGACACCAAACTGTGCTTCATTTATCATGAGATTTTAGTGGGCTAGTAGAGTAAAAAAGATTAATCACTAGCATTAACACAAAATCAAGTTGCTCCCATAATCACAGACAGACTGTATATGCAACTCTGGTGACAAGCCAAGCCCAGTATCACCGCGCCATCCGTGTGCACAATGCTATTTGATATTGAATCACTTATCCAAACTCCTACCTTCTTCGCATGCTGGATCCGCTTCAAACAGGCTAGAACTCATGAAGATCTCATCAGGTGGTCTTCTGTTGTGTCTCTGAACAAAGCTATCTAAATAACATGAATTGTTTATTAAGCCCAGCTACTCTTGACAAATTGACTAAAGAAATTCAAATTTCACTTTCACAGAAACATATTAGAAGTGTAGCCTTCAATCTCACTGTCTTTACACAAAGATATACTTTCCCACTCAGTTCTTCCCTGGTCATGCTCGATGACGTCACATAATTTTTTGGATATGTGCTGGAAGAGAGGTGCTGAGCCCTAGCCTTCCGCTGTCACAGAAAACGGCACCATCTAACGCATTCATAAATATGCACATTGATTATTCAAGATTTTCTTGCCGGAAGACAGGTCCTTTCTTTATAAATCCTTCCACTGACTCCAGAGGGATTGTTTTAGAACCATACTCAATCATGCTGCCTAAGTTATACACACCGGATCCCCATTTCCCTGGGGCCAAAATGCAACTGTTCTCTCAGCCTTCTTTCATCCAGTCACCCAGGAGTGATTACAGTCCTTAAACACACAAGCCTTCAAGCTTGGAAGCAGATGAGTTCAGCCACTGCTTTCCCTGCTTTGTTTTCCCCGTAAGATAAGGGCCAGTCTGTGCAAGGTTACATCCCCCTTTTGAGCTCGACCCCCAGGTGCAGAATGCATTCCCAGACGGCCGAGGCACCTCTTAGTTAATGCAGCTGGTACAGGCTCCTTCACCACATTTGCTGTTTAGAACTAACTCTTCTCTAATGTCACTGTCATTTCCACTCTGAGCCAACTTTATTTGTAGCAACTAGAAAGAATCAGAAAAAAAACAAAAAGATCCATGCCTCCTCATTGGAGGTATTTTTGAGCTTTCAGCATGTTTATTCAGCTGGCAGCGCTGGAAATGCACTCTTCTCTCCTTCCTATCAGGTATTATAAGCCACGTATGGCAGTTAATGGTTGGAACTGTTTGATTTCTATGGTCATTCATGGAGTGAGGCATCTCCAGGTACCGAGAAAATCACTGCTTTTTAATATGAATACAGGATTTTGCCAAATCAGATCTTAGCTTAAAGACCATGTTCTTAAAGCTGAAGAAGAGAAAAAAAAACAACAAAACAGAAGAGCCCCTCACTTTCAGGGCACAGTGAGATGGTTCTTTCAATGCATCTAGGTGTCCTGGATTTAGCTAAAAACCCAGTTCTGTTTAGGGATTTTTACCTTCCAGTTTAGTGTCTTCTAAAAGGCTGCACTTTCTGAAGTCAGCAGCATGTTTTTGCAGACAGTGTGTGCTGCTGGCAGTGATAACACCTGACGTTTGCAGTTACTGCCTGGGACTGGGATGCAGAAGGGCTCTTGCTGATACTTATTCCTGTAGTGCCCAAGGCCACTGCTGGCTCTTGTGTGCCACGCTGGGGATGCCAGGTAGTAAAGGGGGGTCACAAGGAAGTAAAAGGTTGCATCTCCGGGGGGGTAATAGACAGGACAGGTGACCAACGAGAGTATTCCACCCCATATACATCATATTTAGTATAAATTGAGTGATCACGAGAATTTCATCCCTTTTCATAGAACAATTCAGGTTGGAAAAGACCCTTGGGATCATCAAGTCCAGTCATCGAGTCCAACCTTTTCTGCAATGGCCGGTGTCCAGAGAGGACTCCATCTGACCTCCTGCTTTTGATCCAGATCCTGAGCTCCTGAATCCAGCTGCCTGTATCCAGCTCCCGCCACCGCTGAGCCTGGGGCTTCCCCAGTGCCTCCTGCTCTGTGGGGATTGCTATCGGGGGAGGGAGTCAGGTTTGATATCAGGCTACTATCTATAGTTGTATATAGTTCTTTACTTTTATCATTTCACCATGATTTCATTAAAGCTGTTCTAGTTTTTTTTCTCTAATCCAAAAGTCTCTCTGCCTCGTTCCCTTTTCCTTCCCGTTTGTGGGGGCAAGAGGGGGTTAGAGAGCGTCTGTCCATGTTAGTGGCCCACCTAGCCCTAACCCGTGACACTAGGTAACAGTTCCAAAAAAGAGCTCCTAATTACATTCCAGAAGCAGCAGACAAGAACCAAACTGATTCTAACAGAAAAATTACATTATATGGGAAGAACAGTTCCTACCCAGAACACAATGAGCTACTAGGCTAACTAGCTTAAACTAGAACCCAGATTATGCTGTTCCAGACCCTCTGTACTTCAGTGAATACAAATCTCTAATTGCTATTGTAGTCTAGAATTTACATGGAGACAACCTAGTGAAAAATTCACAATCTCAGAAATATATCCTATCCTCCTCCCTATTTCCTCCTACAATGAGTCTCTTCAGATAACTGTGTAAGTTTGTTTTACACTGACCCACTTACACCGAGTTTGGGTTAAAACAGGTAGGTATCATATCTTTCATTGCTCAAGAAACAAAGATTTTCGCCTTCAGAAAGATACTGAAAATTTCAGCTACAACGATGTAGAATACTAAAAGAGAATGTACGTTTTACAATTCCTTTTATCATATGAAAATGTCATACCTGAACCAGAAGGCTTTTAAGTATTTATTAGGATGAGACTGATACGCAATATTCTGAGGCACTACAGTCTTCATGTCCTACCTTCCGACACGTCGGACATTCTGTGGGTATAGGGGCGCTCCAGCAGCTGGAAGGTAGAGGGTGAACTGTGCACCAGTTCTGGCTCAGGCTCGAAGGAAGGATTTTCTGCTGAAGGGAATCAGAATCATACAGAAAGTTCTATATTGCTATGGATTATTTACACACACCGAACATCAGTCCTATTGACTAAATACAGCTCTACTGCAAACACACCAATATACCCCATTAACAAAACTCCTACATCTCACTTCAGTGTACATCCTAGTACCCAACAACTTATGCAGGCCTTACAAGTCAGTATTTACTGATTCGTTAATACATCAGACAGCCCATGGATCTGCTAATAAAGCATCTGAACCACTTCTAGGAAAAGAAGAAAAAAAGCCTCCACTGCCACCACATACAGATACATAGAGAGTTGAGCTGTCCAGAGCTGCAGGACAGAGTAAGCTGTTATTTATTCTGGTGTTTCTGTAAGTTGTTGATATGAGAAATTACAGACCCATGGAATTTCCATATGGACTTCTGCTTAGGACATTTGCTCTTGGTAAACCTTCACTGTACTCGGAGCCGTGTCTTACGGAGGCCATTGGTATGGCCAGAGGGTAACTCTGTTCTGTTCCACTGTGTTCGCTGTAGGAACGAAGCGGTGAGGAGTCATAACGGGTTTGGTGAGAGAACACATTCCTCTGAGAACTTCTCCTGTGTGAGCAACAAAAAAGGAAAACCCTGAGTGCCACAGAAACTCTCAGTAGATAACCTTAATAAATTGTTACCTATTATCACCAAATCTGAGTGCATTATAAAACAAACTCAGATACCGAGAAGTATTTTGTATTTAGAACTCCAACATCATAATTCTGATTTGGTCATCAACTGAATTAGAAAGACTACAGTTTTTCTCCAACTGAAGTTAGCTTGGACTCTACCCAAACAGGATCAACTGCTTGGAAAATGAGGACATCCAAGATTATAGCACATTGTGAAAATTACTAGAACTAAAAAATAGCCAAGACGTTACGCCATAAATCCTAAAATACATTTAACTGATAAATTCATCATGTCATTTCTCTTGGATACCGCATTCCTGATAACAGCTTTAAAAACTTGTGTCTGAGAATGCAAGCATAAAGGAGGGATTAAAAGAATTCCACAAACTGGAACTCTGGAAAAAAAGGTTCTCCTGCATACAGATAGAGAATTTAATGTTTTTTGGCACAATCATAACAGTAAAATTAAATAAACTCACCTTCTATCAATTTCCAGCGTCTCTGAGAAGTGGTAGTCTGGATTTTCAAAGGCTTCATTGTAATGATAAGACATGACAAGGCTGTAGTTTGAGGGATGAAATCTTTGTTATTTTCGTCTCTAGTGCTTCATTGATATGTTCATGGGAAGACTGATTACAGACCTAATTAAAAACAGATGCATGTACATACAAAATGGAAAGAAAGGAACTTCATTTTAGAATCTTAGTTCGAAGATTTTCCATCCTCCTAACAAATAACAAAAAAACCCCAACTGGAAATAGTTCTAACTTAGTGCTATTTACCATGGGAAAATTATGGTCCACCAGAGGCTGCAGGTAAACTGGGAACTAACACCTCTCTATAGTCATCTCTACAAAACTAAGGAACTGGCGTGCCACATGAAGTCTTCCCCAAAACTGACAAAGACAGGTTTTAGAAGTATGTTGAAATATTACAAAGAAAACAAGTACTCTCTTTACTTCTTATACTTGAAAAGCCAATTTTTTTCTGAGTACTATGCTTCCAAAACCCAAGAGGAGGCGAAGTTTGCCCATGTCCTTCCTAGTAACAGCATCTCTAAGCTTTAGTTGTGAACAAGGAACACAGTGGACCACTGCTGTGTGCTGTGACATCATTTAGGGACCCACTCTTAATGAGGGCTCTTCTAATTGCTTAATGTCTCAATCCTATAAATAGGCTTAGTTTTAGCTTTATTTCTCACCAAGTGCTCCATTTTAGTCTTAAGGAAACCAGACTTGGTCAGAGTTTAACAGCAGAAGTCAGGTAAGTCAGTGAAAAGGGAAGCTTATATTAGAAAAACCAAATCCAAATTAAACAGGCACTTCTTGTGATTAATCAAGTCATTCTGAAAATTAAAAAGGAAGTGATTTTTAGCAACAATCTCAACCATCAACTTTTCTGGCTGCAGCGGTTTTCATTTTTGATTTCTACTGCAGTAAAGGAAGTATCACACAAAGAAAAGTATCTTCAAAATGCGTAACTGCAGTGTCTAGTTTCAGAAGGTTTGTCATAATCTTCTTGTTTTGGCACAAGAAGCTCTTAAATTACTATTGTACCATTTACACACCTAAAGACCTTGGAAAGCTGTCTAAAATCTTGCAGCGTGATGTATAGTTGTAAAACACTGCCCAGGGTTCGCAGTCCGACTGCACATAAATGCAGGTGGTTAATAGAATTCAAAGTCCTACCTCTTAATGAGAACAATATCTACACTTTCGTCACAGCATGACAAAGTGTGCTGAGGCCTGAGTCTCTGGCAAACATTCACTAATAAATATGACAGGTAACACAGTGCGTCACCCAACTTTCCTGTAAGCAGTGGAATGTGATTACTGCCAGCAGGAAACTTGAATCACAGTCTCCCCTAGGTGCAAATTGAGTTTTTTCAGGCACAAATTCCACACCTACAGAAACAGAACGAGATTCTCAGGTATTGCACATTGTTACTTGGCTCCAGGCATATCCACAGAAGCTTGCTAAAGCACTCACATAAGGCCAAGACAGATTGCCTGTTGATTCCATCATTATCCACTTTATTTCCTTCAAGTCTCAAAATGTGTTTTATGCCACAATTTCTATGAAAATCCACAGGGACATTTACAGTCTAACACTGAATCCAGCATCTGAAGCCATTCTGGTTTTTGTCCACTCCCAAAGTTTTAAGGATTTTGAATAAATTTCCCATGTACACCGAGGCAAGTCCAAATCTTTGCATTTCATTCTTGAAAAAAAAACCAGATTTTTCTCTTGCTACCTGAGAGCATTAGATCTCAAACCTTGAGGTATGTGGAGTGAGCAAGGACACGGACAACCCAGGTTTCTTGACTGGGGCTACAGTCACTCAAAGCTTACTGTGCTACCCGATACCAAGCGCTGTGGGGCAGGATGGAGCTCTGCACGGGCACACAGGCTGCGGGTGTGCAGGTCGCACGCCAGTCCACCCACTTCCTCCAGCCCAAGCCCAAAGACCGTGAGAAACTCTTCTTATCAAATCAGGTGTCTACATTACAGGTTTGGTTTGGGGTTTGGTGGACTGGCAGTTTATAACTGTCTGACCAGACCTAGTTCATTGGAAAGAACCTGAAGCACGTAACATTCAAGCTAAACCATCTCTTTCTTCTTTTTGACCTATAATGGGATGCAGTAAACCATAACTTCACGAAAAGCTAGACTTTGTTTTCTCCTTAAAATGTTATTTTCCAAAAGGAGAAGGAAAAAAAAAAAAAAGAGAGAGCTGGACAAAAAAGGTCATTTGTGAAAGACAAAAGGCAGAAGCTTTACAAATCTTCCCTTTGTGGAATGGTGTTCATTTGTTGGACAACATTTTGGATTTCAACAAGCAACCAGACAAACCTTGTGTTCCTCCGGATAACAGAAGAATTTAAGATTAGTATGTTTAATAATCACTGATATGTATGCAAGTTGTAAGAGAGGTGGAGAATGAGTGCTTTATGCTTAAATCATTCAATACACACTCTAATGATACAGGAGAGGAAACTCCAAGCAGTGCAGGCTCAAGCTTCTGGATCATTTCCCAGAAAAACAAATGCCTTCATGTCACAGAGCAACAGCCTTAAAATTTTGCAGGTTAGTTTCATCCATTCCTGTACAGGTAATTCTCTGCTATAGACACCAATTCTCATTTAGAGTATAAATCAAACAAACATGAATGTCTTGTTAAGGGCACTTTATCTTGGCATCATGTTCCAGGAAACCACTTAGACCTTCAAGCCCTATACCTGTAAAACCTTAGAATAAAAGTTTATGTAACGTAAACTCTTAAGTTTGCTTAGTAAGTCCCAGAACTACAGCATAATTGACTTGCCAGTGTTGAATGACAAGGAATAGAACTGATTCAGAAGGTTGAATGTGCTCTATTTCCACAAATACCTTTTAGTTTTGTAGAGTATGACTGGACAGGGCTTCACTGTTACCTACGTTATTTTTATTAATGAATCCCTGTCCTATTTAACACACTACACACAGCTTCATACTGAAAAAAAAATCAGATTGGTTTCTGGAAACAAAAAGTGAGTTTGAGAGACAGACTAGAGTTAAAATTAGATTACACTGTGCATCAGCAACTAGGCTCCAGTACTGACTGCCACTCTTCCGCTCTCTCAATCCCAGCAACACTGCTGCAACAAACCAGGAAAGCCTCTCAGAAAAATCTAGAGAACCCGTGAACTGAAGTTAATCAAACACCACACTCAAGAAAACATGATCTTTAACTAATATATTAACAATTAAACAAGCGTGAATCATACCCGGAGATGAAAGCCACTTATTTTTTATGCACATTGCCAAAGTACCCAGTCTGTACTGACAAACACCACCTCCTATTGTGTTTTTACTGATGTCAGCAGGAGCCAATGTCAACTTTGTTATTTTAGACCTTCAGTCAATTCCAGCAATGTAAAACGTGCCTCTGCTCTAAAGATCTTCCCTGTGAAAGATGAGATGGTAGCACTAAAGCCTCATCTGCTTAGTACTGCACAGGCAACGGACAGAACAACCAAATCAGGAAGGAAAAGGAGCGAGTGGCAGCATCTCCAAGGCCACCGCAACACTGCTGTCTCTCCCAACAGCTTGCTGGATCTCCAGCTCACAAAGGAAGGTCCTTCCTAACCCTGCAGCGCAAAGCAACCTGCTGGAATCGAGATCCCACCCTCCTAAACCCCCAGCCCTACCTGGGGAGTGAGGGACACTGAGAGCAGCCGGGCTGGGGGAAGCTGCAGAACAGCGTCTGTCTGACACGGGGAACATCCTACTGTTGGACTATCCCTGCCCTCAGCTTTCCATCTAACATTCCTCTTTTAATTTCTTCCTCCCCAAAAAATACAGCAAGGTTACAGTATTTTCACCCTTTGCAAGTTAGACCCCTTCTATCACCTGTGACTGCTTGGGTAAAACTTTTCGAGAAGGTCTGCCAGCTGCTTTGTGCTTGTGGCATCTCAAGCAGGAGACTCCACCTCACCTGAGTGTAGACACCTTCATTAAAAACATGCTCCTGAAACATTAAAAAAAATTGTTACAATATATAGTTAAATCATGGGGAAAAAAAATCCCTAAGGCAAGAATCACCTCCTCGGAGTGCAAGTGGGTCTTGTAACTCAATTTCCAAACTGCAGATCTTGCTTTGCCAAACAAGTTTTTTAAGTCTATTAACCAACGTTACCAGCTACTTGTATTTGAAGGAAATGACTGTTACAAAAATAAACAAAAAAAGCAGTTTTTGAGTACCTGTTGGGAATTGTTTTTCTGCTTTTCGTGGAAAGGCAACCTTTCATAGCAGGTGTGTTAGAGGCATCTGATACTATTTCCTAGAATACTTCTAATGTATTGTCTTAAAAGAAAGCTTTGTTTATTCTGTACTTGCAATGGATACTTATCCAGTTTGAATGCAACCTTCAAATTATACTTTAATCAGCAGTATCAGTTTCAGGAGTCTCATTCACAAGTTCAACTGGAAAAGCTTATGAAAACTACACATATGGTCATTTTAGAAATAAATGAGGTTTGAAAGATACACAGAGTTGTTGAACTACAAAAAGGGCATTGTTCTCCTTGCAATTTCTAGCTTAACTTCCTGTTAGGATATTGTCATCTCATTACTATTTGCACAAGCAGCATGTAAGACAACCCTGAGGGGAAAAAAAAAAAGCTATTCACAATATGCTGGCTAATCACCTAAGAAGCCAGAAAACGGCTGGGGAGAACCAGTCAGAAGAAAAGAGAACCAGCTTTGTCACAGGCTTCTCCTAACTCTCCAAAATCCTTAAATGCAGTTTTCAAATTATTGGACAAATAATTCTGCATAAATCAAATACTTTTTTTTTTCCCCAGTCAAAATGCAGCTATATTAAAATGCAGTGTAACATGTTAGTACATTTGGGTTCTGCTCTGCAATGAACATACAGATGCTATGAATTATAGAAGCCACAATCAGAGGTTTTTTCACAAAAATGTGAACAGAGGCAATGCCATAGAGTACTAGATCCTATTACATCAGCCTGTACAGACATACCACACCACCTCACCGCTGCATCACTT